ATTGCAATCATGCAGAAACCAATACAAGCTGTAACCAACCATCTGTTTTTTACAAGTAATATCAAAGAGAAAATGAAGTGTGTATGGCAACATTTATGCCACCTGCTCTGGTTTTCAGAATGAGTCAGACGGTCCTTACATCTGATTGATGTGAGGACCATCAGGTCACATTAGCATTTATTGATGATACCATTTGCTCTGGCATAACTCTAAATCTCCAGATGTGAATGTTAGCCAGGATGGGAAGAATCAACGTTCTGGCTTTTGAAAACATTTAACTTCTTTATGTTGTTACAACCACAAACCTCCACATGCTTCTTGGTGTTTTAGGTAATAAAGCGGCACAAAGCGGAGCTCTCTGAGAAGTGGAAGGAAACAGTTTCTGTGGAACTCCAGAGAGTACAAATACAACTGCAAGTCTGCATTTTGATACAAGGCTAAGCTGATTTGCAAAAAAAATAAAAATTGTGCTAATTTTCTGCCACCAGATTAGGGGCCGTTTATTAATCAATTAATTTGTTTTATTTTATTTATTTTTTTGGGGGGCAGGGGGGAGTCAAAGGTCAACTTTTTGGCCTCCTCCCCTAAGATACAGTACCTGGCAGCGCTGCTTCAGCTGTGAGTTAACGTGGGCTAACCCTTCCAGGGTCTTCACCTTGGCCAGCTCCTCCCTGAGGTCCTGATGGATCTGCAGCCTAAACCCGCACGCACGCACACACACACACACACACACACACACACACACACACACACACACACACACACACACACACACACACACACAATTTAGCTCCATGTGACTACAGTTTCAACAGCTCAACTTAATCAGTAGGAGTTTATGTTTCTGCCAGGAAGGGAAAAGAGTGTAAGAATGAATGAAGCCCTACGTGTGATGCCACAGCTTGAAGAGGTGAGCCCGTATGTAAGACAGCGAGCAAGGAGGGTACTGCTTCACCACCTCCAGATATTCCTCTGCCATTTCCCACACTGGGGGGCTGCGGCCCTCAAACAGGGCCGGGTTATGGAGGTTCCCCTCTACGGATAACACAAAGGCAGATCAAAGGTATGCAATAGTTCAGACACAGAGCACTCTATAACTGAACCTCACAGGACAGAAAGTTAAAGGAGAACTAACCTGCACTCATGACCCCCTGCACTCCTGTCTCCTGAATGCAGCGCTCCACATCACTCAGATGATGGATATTTCCATTTGCAAACACTGGAATATTTACTGCTTTTCTGCAGATGAAAATCCAAGTCAGAAATATGTCTTCCCATTACATTTTTATAGAGACACCAGAGAAAAAGGGCAGCAGCTCACCTGACTGCCTTGATGTGCTCCCAACTAGCGATCCCCGTCATGGCTCCCTTCTGATCTTTGGTTCTGCCATGTACTGTCAGCAACTGGGACATTTACCAAACATCTCAGACTTCACCGCAGTTTTAAAGCATTTTTTTAATTAAATCAAAGCTCAACAGGTGGTGGAAACAGATCCTACCTGACAGCCAGCTTTCTCCAGCATCTGAGCGTAGCGCACCGTTTTCTCGATCTCTTTGAAGACTCGGATCTTACAGGTGACCGGCACCGAGAGCTTTTCATTGGCTAAGCTGACTGTTGATGTAATGAGAAAGGTAGTTCCTTATAACTGCTGCTATTTAAAAAAACAGAGGATTTAGACATTGGTTTAACCATACAATTAAAGCTGCATGTTAATGTTAGAAATTGTTACTCGTTTAAAAAGCTACACATAAAATATGACAAAATGAGTAAAAACTCACCCATCCTCTCCAACAGCTCCCATTCATCTTGCAGAAAAACTCCATAGTGTCCTTAAAATAATAACGTAACATTAGTTTGGGTCCTTCGTATTAGTTCTACTCTAGATAGTTATTCTACGTTCAGATTAGAGCATATGTACCTCTCTTAGCTATCATCTGTGGACAGCCCAGATTGAGATCGATGGCGTCGCAGTGATCCTGGGCCAGGACAGCAGCCTGGAGGAACACCTCCGGGTCATTGGCACAAAACTGGAACAAACATACAAACAACCAGGATATCGATTTCACTCCAACCCATTGTGTTTCAAAGTGATGTGTATTTCTCACTATAGTTTGATTATTTTGGTGAAGGTGGAGTAGTGGAACAATATTATCAAGAAAAATGATTATTTCAACACTTTAAATCTTGAACTTTTAACTGAAATGCATAAAATCATTTTAATCTCAGTTGTACTTTTTTCAGTTAAAACCTAAAAGGAGGTCCAGTAGAAGAGCTCAGACACAAAGCCTTTATCCTCAACTACATGATTAAAACAAATATATTGCAAGAGAAACATCAGCAGGGAACAGTTTGGTTCTGTGTCTGATTCTCGGACTTTAAATGGTTTAGTTAGAAAATTAATGTATGTGAAATGAAATAAGAACTATACAATGTGTCCTTAAAGTCTCTGCTGAACAAAGTGTGATTGTTTAAACAAATCTAATGTCATGCCTTTGATCACTGCACTCCTTCCTCTCACCCAGCAAAAAATAAGTAAAGAAAAAAAAATTATAATACATTTAAAAAATATATGCCCTATATACATATTTTTTATAAAAGAACTCACCTGGGTGATCAGGGGTCTGTCCTCCTTACAGACTTCGTTGTAAAGGTTTTCCTTCCTGTAGTTGGCATCCCGGACAAATACCTGAGCGTGCAGCATCGGCGTGTAGCAGAGCTGGGCACCATGTCTCCTACTCAGCAAGCGCCAGGCCAGCTCGCTCTGGTCCACCATGGGCGCCACCACAAAGCGCGCCTCCCCCAGCGTCTTCCTCCAGAACTCAAAGCCCTGAAGCTTGGCCATCACAGCTGGGGTCCACAGACAGCACAGAGCAGCGTTATATTAAGAAACACTTCTGCCAGGCTTTTCTCTTGGTGATTACAACGGCCAGCTAACAAATGTCTACGAAAGCTAGAATCAGAAAGAAGTAGCTGAAACTACAGATGCAATTATCAGTTCATCAGATATCCGAATTTCCCAATATTACCTAATTTTGGCTCTGAACAGTGATCAAAAGGACAGATAGTGAACCATACCATACCAACTTTATTTATAAAGCACTTTAAAACAACCACAGCTGATACAAAGTGCTGTACATAAAATAGATAAAAACAAATAAAACTTTTACAGTTTAAAACAAACAAACATACAATGTGAAACTAGATCTCGCTGGAGTTGAAGGTCAAGTAAAATAGACGGGTTTTAAGACGAGCTTTAAAATATAAATATGTGAAAACTAAGAATTCCCAGAGTTTTTGGTGTACGAACTAGAACATCCACCCACAGAATGTCCATCTTAGATTTTATTTTGAGTTAGTAAAGCTCAGATAAAGAAAAGGGAGTTGGCCCTGAAAAAACTGATCCTTGAACCTCAACCTACAACTTATGCAGAACAAAATACCAACATATATCAGGAATAAATATGCAAATTTAAAGCCCTCAGCATCAATAGGTAGTCTGTAAGAATTAGACTGACCAGTTTAGAAATGTATTTGTGATTGTTTAGAGATGTCAACATAAGAACCTCTCTGTTATCACCTCTCTTGTATTTTATTACTGTACTTTATATTTAGGCATTAAAAAGCGTTTCATGCACGTTTCCGACACGAATGTCTAAAGCTTAATATAAGATCATCAAATAGCATGTTTAAAAAGTAGTGTCAGATTAAATCGTCAATATTTAATAATGTTCAGCGCTTCTCTGAAGCTATTTAAATGTCTAAACGTTTTCATTTTGCAATTCAGCACCATGGAGTATCTCATAAATATAGTAAATGTTTGATTATTTGACAGCAGCGAGTTTGATTAACTTTGCTTTGTTTTCAAACATTTTTTTCTGTTTTCTTTTCACCTTGTAGCCTTCAGCAGTCCTAAAACTTGTTAGCTGTGGTGTCGCTAGCAGAGCCGCGCTAACCGGCGCGCAGTTATCCCGGGTCAAACAGAAGGCTGTGGCCGAGTCCCAGCCTCCTGGCCCGCTGTGCGGCCAGCGAGAAGCGGGACCTCCGTGTGTCTGGAACCTCAGGCTGATGTTTCACCTGCTTCACTGTGGCGCTTGGAGACAGCTCCTCACGCGGCACCTTCAGCCATGTGCAACAGCCAAATATCACCGGCACGGAACGTTTCTTCTTCTTCTTCTTGTTCTTCTTCTTCTTCTCCGCTTCAGCTACTTCTGGTTGTAAATAAAATATTCCAACAGACTCGTGGTACGACGCCCCCCTTTGGCCATGACATGTCATAGTAGATGTTAAAAATAAACTTGGGGCAGAATACGTTTAAATGTGTATTTTGTATGCAATAATGTTAATGATGGGGCCTACCACCTTCACCATCAGGAGTAATCCTGACAGAAGATTGCATTGATAACCTAAAACTGTTAGCTGAAAATGATTCCCGTCATAAACAATACTGCACAGACATAAAATGTAATTTTTGTTACACTTGATTTATTGTTTGGGACAGCAGTCTGCAGGTGAACTTTGCTGTTTGACATTAAAAATAAAACCACCAGGTTTTTAATGCACCAATCCTTATTCATCAGAAGCAAAGTAAGCCATCACCATGGAAACTGACAGATCCATTATTCACCCAGCTGCTGTGTGATTTTCCCTCATGGTGCTCAGATTACAAAAAACAAACTGATTAGTTTACAGTTAAAGAAATCCTCCAAATGATATTTTTAAAAGGACATCGTTTGGGTTCCCTTCTACTGAATATTACCGTTTCTGTACTGTATACTAAAAAAAATTCAACTAATAGATTTAATAGTAAGATGTTATAATAGCATCTAACCTTGTTTGTGGCTGAGAGTTTCTGGTTCAGGAATCCCGGTGTTTTCTACCTGCTTTTTGTAGATGATGCGGTTCTGATGATGAGTCAGAATAAAACCATCAAGATATTCTTATTGTGTCACAGTGACCCTGCTAGGATGTTGGATAATGGATGCACAGACAACCAGAGATCTAGAACAGCAAAAAATATATTTATTGAAACACTCACAAATGCTACAGACAATAAAAAACACACAAGGAACAGTAATGTGTAACATTGTCCATAAAAAAATGTAATAGCAAATTAGAATTACTTTGTTAAAATATTTTGATTAAATATGCCTTTTTACTCCACAAACAGCAAACGATGTTGCAGAACACACTTTGTTCCATAGAAAGCTATTGCATCACCTCTGCTGGACATCTTGGGTTGTGAAACTAAGTGAGCTCAGTACTTTAGAGAGGCAGTATAATGTTATCAACACAAGTAAGCTCACAATAACAGCGATTCACAATCATATACAAGTCAGTAGGAACGACATAACCTGTGGAGAGTGAAGCAGACCGGGGCGTCTGATTCACAGTGAAATGCTTCTCTGTCTTTTGAATGCCACAATAAAGACTTAAGGCATAAAATATTTACCCCCAACCTCAAACTCTGAGACAAAAGTTGCAGCAGGACTTTCCAACCAGCTGCCACATTTTGCAGCCATGTTTAGTATCGTATCTAACTAGTACCTGACCTGGTTAGTTTGTGTCACGTCACAAACTGAGGGGGAAGACATTTCCTGCCTTGTGATTCAAAAGTGAAGAGAAGAAAAGAAACTGCAATCTGTTAGAAGTTTGTGACACACAAGATTTCAAGCCATATGACAGGAATGAGTTTCTGGTTATACAGACACATAAAGCTTTTCCAACACTTAAGAATGCAGAACAGCAGAAAGCAGCACTTTGTTATTTAAAGGATAAGGCTGACAGGATTCTGCACCTCTCTTATCACAAATTTCCTGAAAAAATAAAAACTAAAAAAATATATAAAGTATATGTTATTAGTTTTTACGCTGTATTGATTTTTTTACGTGAGGCACTCAGTTTTATTTCCGGTATAAATTTACTTTTATAACTTTCTATTTAATGACACGACATGAAATTGTATTTTCCCCTTTACAGATTGTTTTTTTTAACTTTATGTTTTAGTTTTGGTCACTCTTGTGTTTTTCAGATAATCAAAAACACTGAAATGGTAAAAATAGTAAATGGCCTGTAATTACAGTCATTCAGTCACACACACAGACTGATGGCAGTGAGCCATGTTGTAGTCACTCAGTCAGAGATAACCTCAGCAAAATCAAAATTCACTTAAGAAAAGATGATCTCAACTCTAGTGAAAATGAAGTTATCCAAACCAACCTGGTTCTAGATAGAACATTAATTGGCTCCCTCATTAACTCATCCAGACTCCAGTAAAGCACAACGAGAGCTTTAGCCAGAATCAGACAAAACAAAGGAGCCCTGGAGAACCTTCCCAGCAGAGGCCAGCCAACCAGAATCACTCCCAGAGACCTGGGATGGCTCCTCCAGGAGGACACAGGAGGACAGAACACAGCCTGTGAAGGTTAGAGGTCAGGGTTCAACAATAATACAGACGAGACAAAATGGCCTCCATGGTAGAGTTCCAAGGAAAACACTGGTAAGTGATGATCTCCAAAATATCTGTGGACTGATGAGACAAGGTAGAACTTTGCAGTGGATGTGTTCCTGTGACATCTGGGCTCAGAAAAAAAATAAACTGATAGCCAAACATGGTGGTGGGACAGTCTGACCAGGTTTGCTTATTCAAGATCTGAACAACTTGCTATAATTAATAATGAAAACCATAAACAAGCATTTCTGACAATCATCAGAATATATTGTCACACAGAAGCACTCCAGCAAGCAAAAAAAAAAAAAAAAAAAACAAGAAACAAAATGAAAAAATGGTTTTGGGATGAGCAATTTTAGTGTATGGATGGCAGTGACTGCTGCCAAGAATTAAATAACCAGTTACATTCTCCCCTGGTCAGGCTGGTCTGGATAGGATTCATGCAGCAAACCTTCATTTTTAAACTCCAGTTTGTTTTTACTCAGGTCATCTTTGATACTAAAAAAAATGTTTACCAATGAAAAACACTTGAGTTTAACTAAAAGAGAAGAAGCAAACAAGGTAAATACTTTTTCATGGTACTGAATAGAATTGTCATTTTACTTTTACTAAGCCTGAAGCATTAGGTTGTTTTGAAGTTCAGAATTGATGATCTCTGTGACATGCTGTTCAAACAGTGGAGCAGAGCTAGACATTATATTCAGCTTGGGTCTTTCTTCTTAAACGTTACGTTTGTTCCTCTATGATCGGACTCTAAACTTAGGTAGGATGATTTACTAGCCTTTCATTCTATTCCCCCTTTTATTGAAAATGAATTTCCTTCCACTTCATCAAAAATTAATTATTGAGACAAAAGTTAAGCACCATGTAAAGGACCACAAACGAATAGTCAAATTAGAAAGTCATCTGGTGGAGAGCGGCACAGAGGATGTTCTTGAGTTAAAATGCAAGGAGCTGGCAGGTGTAGAGGCTCACCAGAGGACAGCAGTGGCAGCCTGACTGGAATGATAGTGTGGCAGGATGCTAACAGAATGTCTGGCAGTCATCTGACACAGACAGACAGACAGGATGCCATGTAGTTGGACTAAACACCATCACTAGGAGCGTGATGGGGGTCTCATGCAGGGTTTGAAAGAGGTCAAGTATTCTACGTTCTGACTCCCTGGCATGCTAGGTTAACCTCCTTGGTTAGCCTAGCCTTTCACTCTGGTTTCAACAGTGTGTGTAGTTGGCCCCATATGCTAGGCAGTGTCTTGATACAGTCACCCAGCCTGAAACCTGGTAAAAATGGACAACTGAATCCAATCGAGTCTGTGTCTGGTGACCTTACTCTCTGATGACATCACTCATGGCCTCGAGTGGCTGGTCTGAATCAGATTGTTTACGCCCCCACTGTTCTGTAATTGTGTCAAATTCCATCCAAATCAAACTGCTCCATATTGCTGCATACTGCTTCAGTCTGTACCTGACAGAAGTATGTTTTTTACATTTGTTAGAAGTGTTGAGGCCGTTTAATATGAGGCAGATAATCTGTGAAAAGATCAATCTCCTCCACTTCCTGAGCTACTCTTGTCATCTGAAGAAATGCACTCAAAGCAATCAACCAATCAGAGACAGAGGAGGGGCTTAGTGCTGTCAATCAACCTTGTGAATGCACTGCTAAATGTGCTCATGGTGGAAAAACGACTTACTATTCTAGGAAAACAGTTTATCTGCCATCATTGGTGGCTATGCTAACTGGCCTTAGCATTCATGGCAGGTTTCACTGTGGGGAACAAGCTGTGATTGACAGCACTGAGACCCTCCTCCTCTGATTGGTTGTTTCTGACAAAGCAAGTTTAACGGATAGAGGAGCTGGACATTTTTTGCACATTATCTGTCTCATCCCGTACTGTCACCTCATGATGACAGTTTTATAAAATGTGTTGTTGTTTTTTTTTTTTTTTACATATTTGTCAAAAATTACATATTGCAACTTTACTGTGTTTCTTTTTCGGGGAGCTTACATTCATCTGTACAAATCACTTGTTATGTCATTTGCTAAAGCATAGAATGCAGAATTTTGACAAAATTATCCCTTAATTTTATTTGCTGGTGGTGACATCCATAAAAAATAACTTGAACATTTGTTATAAACTATGTTATACACATGGCAGCACTGCGGCTCAGTTTTCCCAATCGGCAAACATTGAATGGAAAAACGAAGCCGACACAGCTGTCCATGCTAACAATCATTTGGATGGTAGCAGAGTCACAGCTACTTTGGTGACAGACATAAACACATCACTCACTCAAACATTGAATTATGGCCAAAGCTTGGGGTTGGAAATGCTGCTAACTAGTACATTTCACCTGCACGCTCTGTCTGTACCTAGAGACAGGTTTCAGGACAAGCAGCCATGTCACCATTAGCCTCCGGCTCCTTTAAGAACCTCTCCACCTCCTGTGAGTCCACTGCTTCACTCTTTGGTCGGACATTGTTGTCATTCTTGTTCTCACTTATCACTTTCTGCGGCATGCTGCTACTTTGCTTCATCCTATCATCTGCCAGTGTGACGCTCTCACCCGGAGAGAGTGTCAGTTCACAGGGTTCCGTCTTGATAAATAAGAAGTTGCAAGTAGCCAGAACCACTCCTGAGAGCAGTACCTCACTTCCTGCCAGCAGGAAGACGTACATGTAGTTCTTGGTAGCGTCCAGAAGTCGCCCTGTGACAAAAAAAAAAAAAAAAAAAACAATGACAAGAAAAAATGTGGAGGTACACTTCCATCAAGATGGGACTTGAGTTTAACAGACATTTTTTTTTAATTTTACCCATTTACAGATCAAAATGATCATGTTACATGTTAAACATAAGTTTTGAATGAAAAGGAGTTTGAAAATCTTAGTCTACCTCTTCTCTTCAAAGTCATTTTACTACACCATGCCACAAGATGCTCAAAGATCACCCTGCACCCTTTTCCTGAACAATATTTTTCTTCCAACAGTTTGAGTTGCTCAACAATCTGTTTCCAAATCAGCAAACTCTGAGGCGTTGGTCATCTGCTCTCCCTTTAGTTCCTCCTTTCCCTAAACTTTCCCCAATTACCTCCAACCCAACATGATGGTCTTTAATAGCAGTTATACATTTTACGTCATTTCAAGTTGATCATCAAAACCTCTTTAGCTTCTGATTTAGCATTCATTTATAATATCATGACAACCATAACGTATTAGTTACACTTATCATAATCATAATTTGAGTTACTGTAGGCGTTCTAATAAAAGAAAAACAGGAATCATCCACGATTCCAATTATTTGAAACCAAAGTAACAGTTGTTCATTCTTACAAGTGAAACAATATTAAAATAAGTATTTTTGCTTTGGGTCTCAATCAATTACTCGTGTTCTTTCTGTAAAACCTTCATGCATTGAAATAAGAAATAGTCTCAACTACAACACTCTCTCTGCCTTACTATGATTTCATATGATTAAATACAGGAAGAAATAGAAATATAGCAAAGATTGCATGAGACAACACATAAAATACAACCTCACTGATTTTATTGAAGTTTGATTTTACTGTTCATTCTTTGTTTGATTTATTTTAAATGTAACTTCATGCATTGTTACTATGAAGCAAAAATCTCCAGAATGGGACTAATGAGATGACCTTGGGTTATCTCAACATATGTTATGATTATTATATTTTTCTATTTTCTTCTTGATCATTTTATTTTGTCGTTGACATTTTACTTGTTCAAAATAAATAAAGAACATAGATTTCAAATGGTCTAAAGCAGGAGTGCTCAAACTTTTTGAGACCAAGATCTACTTTTTCTCTCACCAGCCGGCTGAGATCTACCTCATGGCATGAAGACATACAAATTATAAATTAAACCCTATTGACTACTTTTCTATGCAACTATCCATCAGTTATATCAGAAATGATAAAACGATAGAAAACCTAATGCAGTTTCTCCCTCAGTGAGATTCTGACACTGGGAGCAGGTTACTGGTTTCTCAGTCAGAAGCTGGTTGCAAACCTGAGGCCAGCAGGTGTCAGTCAGTTCTGGTGGATCTGAAATTTGGTTTGATGACGTCAATATGCGAAACTGCAGACTGATAGGAGGAACCAAAGAGCTCTGCAGAGGTAAAGGCAAATCTTCTGAATTTGGGATATAATTAATGTAATTTGACACAATTATTGTGATAGAAGCTATTTGTTTGTTAAAACTTAATCAAATATATGTGTACTATTTGATGTTGGTTGTGACGTTTACTGCAAACGAACGAGGTCATTAGTCCAAGTTTGTAGTTTATTGAATGTTGAGAAACTCCAGCGGCTGTGATGAACCACAGCGAAGGAAAACAAAGTAGAATAACCCGAACAGGTGATCAACTCAGAACCACTCGCACCGTTTCACACTCTCTCTCTCTTTATCGTTAAGCACACCCGTTGCCGTGGCAACCGCCTGCGCCCCGCAAGCCGAGCAAAGATTACGTTAAAAACGTTCAGATATCAGGTTTCCATGTTTTATTATTATTTAATGAAGCTACAAACGTTTTGGATCTTAGTTAATATTTTTGATAAGCCTGTCAGAAGAGGAAGTGCTGCTCTCAGCGTCCTGCAGAGATCCACTCAAAACCTCCCCGCGATCGACCGGTAGATCGCGATCGACGTATTGAGCACCCCTGGTCTAAAGCCCTGAAAGGTTTGTCCAATTTTAAACAATTCATAACTCAAAAAACATGGACGGCCTCTGCATCACTGCCCCATCGCCCCGGGAACTGGGCTTAGCAAGTTGTTTTTTATGGGAAACCCTGTTCTAAAAAAAACTTACTTGCTTTGACAAATATTGGAAATAATTGACTGACCTGCACTTGGTGGTCCCACCAACACAGCAATAGCTTCCACCAAGAGGACAAGGCCAATTGCACTGGAGAATTTCTCAGTGCCAACGATTGCCATCAGCACCTCAAACTGCAGCGCGCCCACCATGCCGTAGGAGATCCCGAAGAAGATGCAGAAAATGACTAGAGACACGTAGTCTTTGGACTGGAAGAAATGTAAAAAAGATGATCAGCTTACAGACTCTAAACTCTACATGAGTGAGCAGAAAAAACTATTATTAGTAGTTAATGACCAACAAGTCTTCTCTCACCTGTGAGCCAACCAGGTCAGCAATTCCATTAAAGAGCATTGCAAAACTGAACAAGTAGACACACCGAGGTCGCACCCATGTCAATCCGGCAATCACACCACAGGTTGGTCGAGCAAAAATATCGATGAAGCCCAGGGTGGTGAGCAGCAGGGCAGACTTGGTGTCCTCGTTCCCCAGCTCCTTGGCGTAACTCACAACAAACACAGGCGGCACAAACAAGCCCAGCACCATGATGGATGCTGCTAGGGTGTAGATGACAAACCCCCTGTCTTTGAATACAGAGAAGTCCAGCAGCTTCTTTGTCTTCTTCTTGTCCTGCTGGTCGTGTTGCTGTTCCACGGTCTTGGGAATCGGTAGGGGCTTCATAAGGGCTCCACACACACAGCAGTTCAACAGAAGCCCACCAAGAATGAGGAAGCCTCCCCTCCACCCGTAATAGTCTTGAAGAAGCTGACCCAGAGGCGAGAGGCAGCAGAGGAACACGGGGCTCCCAGCAGCAGAAAGCCCATTGGCCAGAGGACGCTTCAGACTGAAGTACCGATTGAGCATGATGAGAGATGGCTGGAAGTTCAGAGCTAATCCCAGACCTTCAGCAAAGACAAGGACAAGAAATATTTATGTAAAAAGTCTGAAATTTAAAGGTGCATCGTGGAACTTTTACAAAAATCTGCTTTACACATATTTGGTAAAGCTGTCACGTGAGATAGGTAATCTGAAAAAAGTTGATCTCCTTCGCCTCATCCCTTGGCTACTATTGACATCTGAAAAAATGCACCGCTCCAAGTCAAAAACAACCAATCAGAGCCAGGAGGAGGGGTTTAGCGCTGTCAATCAACATCATGTATGCACTGCTAAATGTGCTAACGGTGCAGAATTCACCATTCCAACTAGAGAGCAGGGCTAGGTTGTGAGTAGTGTGTACACAAGTATGATTGACAGCAATTAGACCCTCCCTCTGGCTCTGATTGGTTGTTTCTGATGGAGCTGTGTTTTTGTGCAGATGGCAGCAGGACTATAGGGAGAAGGCAGACTCGTATCATTCTTTCACCACTCAGTGAGTTTCAGCAGATATGTAAAAAATATATTTGTAAAAGTTACACACTGCAGCTTTAATATGGAACACTAGAAAATGTTATATTTTTATGAAAACAAGACTTTGTAGAATCCATCTCATTCCTTTGCTTATATGCATTATTGGCATATCACTAGACAGATAGACAGTTGCATAAAGGAAAACAATGGATTCAAAAGTTTGTGCATTTGTGCAAATTTAATCAGATCTCATTTAAAAGTCTTAATAAAATTATATTCAGTATCTGTCAATTAGTCATTTGACAGATAATTCAAGAGAAACCCCAAGGATGGCTTTTCAGCTTCACTAAAAATGTGAATAAGAAAAAAAGAAAAAAAAAACTGTCAAACCTGTGACGACTCCAGTAGAGAGGTAGATGTGGATGATGCTGGTGGAGAAGGAGGCCAAGATCATTCCCAGAGAGGCGAAGAGGCCTCCCACCATCATCACAGGGCGGCAGCCAAAGCGGTTGACCATCACGCTGCACAGAGGACCTGCACAGAGCAGAGCTCAGACACTGTCTGGACACTCATATACTATCAGCTGCTGCATTTAGGTACGGTTCAGTATTTTGTCCTAAATATTTCACTCAATAATTTAAGAATGACGTTGCATTAATCTGGCAAAAAAAAAAAGTCATAATAAAAAGTACTTTGCAGCTATGTTATTCTTTTATTAAATTTGGAGAAAAAAAACTTTGAACTGAACTAAAAATAATTAGAGATGTGATCCATCTCTATTTGATCCATGTTGAACTATTCACCAAATTCTACCAGCTTTAGAGGCATAGAGGTAGGGTTTCTGAACTAAACATTTTATTTCAAACTTCAGTATTCTTATGAAAGACAAGGAAGTCAGTGTATTTCATTGACTTTGCACACAACTGAAATAGCTGTAAGTAGGTTAGTTTGCTGTCAATTTATTGGGCTTTCTTTCCCACCAATATCTGTCCTATATCACATGTGTAGATTAGCTTGAATTGTCTTCTGAAGGCCACGCAACATGTTTGGCTGAGTGGTGCATTCAGAAGCACGGCCCTGTTCCCAGATTTATGGTCAATCGTTACCAGGCTAACAACTCGAGTTGCTTGGCCATTTGCTACAAGAAAGCCAGTATATAAATGGAGGTTTAATGGATGGATAATGGTTCCCAAAGACATGAGAACCACTGGGTGGTGAGGAACACTGAGCTGAGCTTTTGAATGATCTCCAGAACTTACAGTTCATGCTACATTTTTCAAATTACTGAGACAGTTTGCCATGACTGTTACAGGACAGACATTTTTGACACAAACAGATCAACTTCAACAACTCACCAAATTTCACTATGATTTACACGTAGAATTTCATTAAATTTCTATAGAGCCAGTCACAAGAAATGTCACTCTATAGCACTCATGCTGACTGCTGTGAACAAAAACTGATAGTGATGATGTGCAGGGTCTGAAATGCCCATTGTGTACACATGAGCTTCATATTCATGAGCAACTGTTTGAAAGTCATACAGCAGCACAACTCTGCTACTGAAAGGAACGCTCCATCTCCCCAAACTACATTCTGCTATCAACAATCCCCTGGGTCTGCTCTCTGGTGTCGAGCATGCAGATTTAATGACAAATGTTTAACTTTGATCAAATATTACAGTTTTGAGGAAATACTTGAGCGGTTGTAAAAGAAAGCGATCCAGAGATCAGAGGAGAAAAAGTAATTGTCTGTCAGTTTACCTTTGAACTGGGTCTCCTGTTTAACCCACAGTTAAGTTAAACTAGATATTTTTTAATGCAGTACATGTAAACTGAATGAATTAGTTTGTGTATTGTGCAAACAAGCAGCAGCCTACCTGTGCCATAAAGCATCGCCAGCAGGATGGAAGAGATCCAGGCGGTGTCGCTGTATCCAACTCCAAACTCCCGGATCAGCTCTTTGAAAAACACACTAACTGCTTTAGGGAATGCATAGGAGAAGCCTGTGATGACAAAACACCCAGCCAACACTGCCCAGCCCCATCCTCCATCTGGGGCCTTCACTGTTGGTGCTTCATCATCCACAACAGCACCTCCCATGGTGCTTTATGGCTGTTCCTTAATGGAGGCAGAGAGATGCTGGAACAAACATAAAATATTAGGAAATTAAATTTCCTCTACATTTTAAATTCAGATTGGCAGCAGGTGGTGCACTCTCAGATTGAATTTCTTTCCTTAGTGTGGATCCACATAACTCCTAAAATTGCTTTTTCATTCTGCTTCAATAAACCAATTTTTAATTGTACTGTATTAAGTAAATATAAAGAACTGTCCTGCAACAGGGACTCACAGTTTTTAATGAAGGGTTCTCCTCGCAAATCTTCACAATCACATGTGATGCATATCCAGCAATCATGGAATGAAGAAATGTCGACTGGATCCACTGCCAGAAAAATCTACAATAAAAATCAGACATCATATCATTTTCTCAGCATTTAATAAAAACATAAATCTCTAGAATTTCAGACATTATTTTTCTTCCATTAAACACTGGTACATTGTCTGGCTAGTAAATACAGACACAAATAATTACAGACCAGATTACTCTTTGCCAGCCACATCAATGCCACAACAGTGTTAAACTTACGACTGGACAACACCATCCCCACCAGAACAATGAGATGTTTCCCTAATAACAAACCAGTGAAGGAACTGTTGAACCTGATAAAAGAGCCTGCAGAGAGCACGACAGGAAATTACAGACGACTGCTTTGACAGAAGCAGCTCAAAGTCCAGATTACAGAAAGCAAGTAGAAGTACAGGAAGAAGCTTGAGACCAAACTACAAAGAAACAATGTCCAGATGTATGCTCAGAGATGAAGAAGATCACAAGCTTCAAGTAGAAGACGGATTAGACAGGAGTCCTACATTGCAACTCAGGAGAAGTGGCATCTCATCAGTGATTTCTATCAAATGGAAATGGAACCATGGTTTGGCTGTGCAACTGGTGGGTATTTAGTCATAATTAACTAGTATGAAGTCTTTACTGCATAAGGAGGGAACGTTAATGAGAATGTCTGTGTCATTACCTTTTTCACACAGACCTGATGCTCTGTGCCTCTTAACAATAGAGTGGTACAGTGAATGGTAGTTTGCTTTAGCTTGGAATGTCTGCCTATAGCTGGTTTACTCCTTCACTGACAACTGTGCTGTTTCTTTGTGTATAATATTTGCTCTTTAAATAGGTTCTGACTTGTGGACACCATACAAACACAATCATTGATGTGTTACTTGACAGACCCACATTTGTAATGTTGACAGCTGCAGTGGTTTCATCTGGAGTGTTTGAAACTGTGTCGATAAGGCAAAGAAACCTTTCCTTTGCAATGTCATCATGTTGACAAGTGGGATGCTTTCCTTTAGAAATGTCATGTGTGGCCAAGGCAACAATCCTTGGTGTTATGTCCCACTTCATAGTATCCATAAGATGCTTAACATATGTGTCAAGCATATGTGTGTTTTCTTATCCAAGGGATTAGAAAACACGGAGAAGAAAACCATTTTATCAGATGGTATTCTTCACTTTTGCAAACCATGAGGGTGTCTTAGCTGTTGTGCTGTCTGTGCCTTTTTGTTTTGTACTGTGGTTTGGGTTATTGAGTGGATCTGTTTGATTGAAAGTCCATTGTGGTTTTTTGTCTCATAGAATGGGGCGTGTGACTGAATATAAAGTAATTGCAATCCCTGCCTCAACAGCCGCAGAAAAAAAATCCAGATCGCTAATAAGTGTTACTGTGTCCTGGCAATTCCAACACACCAGCCAGTCTGGAACTTTCTGTAACAATTATGGATCGCCCTCACAGTCACTTTCTAGGCCTTTTACATGTGGCAGAGCTTGATGAAATGTGTTTAGGAAATTTGAAGATGTCCTGAAGCCCTCTGTATCCTTTGAGCTTATTTTTGTCCATTTATGTCCTAAGTATCTGAAAGGTATTTGGACAATAAAAACTTCACCACAGGTCAAGTCATTGCCAGGCATCCCTACATCTCTTGTCATTACTTCAATAAAATGTTCCCTCAAAAAAAAATTTCTTTTCAGTTTCATTGTGTCAATATTGTCTGCCACTGCACATAACGTTTGCTCTGACAAGTCAGACTTGAAGCTTTCTCTAGATGCTCTGAGTCTGATGAGCTCTTTCCATTGTTCAGACAATTATCCCTGTTCTCCATTTTAATTCATTCTTCTTTATGTTAGGTTAGGTTAGGCTATCATTGTCTCTGCCACACAGCAGGGCGCTCTGAGCACCTGGGCTCAGCTGGAGAAAACATTTCAAATTCAGACAACAGATTCTCTTTGCACTCAATGTTCTATAATTCTTGTTCCTGTTTGATGCATTAAAGTTCTGGTTTAATTGGTTTCTGTTTGTAGCTCGTTGTTAAACGAGCTACACTGTGACTTTTTAACTCACTGTGATTTTGACCGTTAGCTTCTGAGCCATCAGCCGTTAGCGCGTTAGCCGCAGCCACCGTAAGAGCTAAAACATGTCATATGTGTGCAATTGATTATTTTATGGTTTTATTCCAGAGCTTTTTTAGGTTTATCACAAAAAAAAACACACGAACAGGACAAAATACACATGAATAGTAATACTTTTTTTTTTACAAACCTTTTGACTCTTCGGAGTTGCTGCCAATATGAATCAACATGGAAACAAGAATAACTGCTGGGATCAACAAGCTGACTGCTATGCAACAGCCTGAGACCGGAAGTGAGAGCTCAAAAAATAAAATCATACAACTAAAACCGGAAGTCCTTCAAATTGGCTTAATAAAACGTTAAAAAAAAAGTGTCTAATAATAACTGATCATAACTTTGAAGAACTCAACTATAAACATATTGAACAAATAAAACTCTTTATTAGCCATATTAGCTAAAGTTATAGCAGTGATTCTCAAACTTTTTACACCAAATATCATCTTAGCAAGTTTTCTAAGTACCACCAGCTGGATACATTTTTTAAAATAATTTTGCATCAGGATTCTGAAATTTTGTTATTAAAAAAATTAAACAGTATTTTATCCTTTTATCACTGCTTAACTGCTTCACAAATGCAATTTTATTATGCATTTCATTTGTATTCAGAGGCTGACATTTCTGTTTGTAATTAGAAAAGTTTAGATGTAAATGTTGTGAGGTTTTACCAGCGCAGACCTCCAAGTCAGTTGCTACTTTTTAGCAAAGTTATTTGCAGCAAAAACAACTTTTTTTGCATGTTTGTATTTTTCTCAAGTTTCTCATTAAGTCTTTAACACAAAAGAGTACTACAGCATATAAACTGCTCCAGTGTTTGAAAGAACAAAAGAGAGAAAAATACATCCATATTATTAACTTATGGATGTATTATTTTTATTACAGTTAAGGTTACTACATACTTCAAAAGAACAAAGAAATCATTCTCTCTCTCTGGCCTTCAAGATAATTATGACATCTTGCAAGCTGCAAGTTTCCGAATTCTTGCAGCTCGTTTTTGACGAGCTGCAACCTTTTTTTGTTATTTTTTGCATGGTACCTAAGAGTTTTGATATACAAATACTGCAGTGGGTTGACTTCCTAGGAAGTCTTTATTTGATGTTTTTGTGAAGTAGGAGTTCCTTCATAGCAGTAGCAGAGCAAGCCTCTACAAGACTTCAATTGCTCAACAACGAATCCTCCATCTGCAACCTTCACTTCGTGTTTTCAGTCAGATAAAGAAACTGCTTGATAATGTTTACATTCTCTTTTTGTTAATATGATTCATGTCCTCTGGCAAAGTTATACACATGCATAATCAAGTATAAGGTTTAAGGGATGGATGGATGGATGGATGGATGGATGGATGGATGGATGGATGGATGGATGGATGGATGGATGGATGGATGGATGGATGGATGGATGGATGGATGGATGGATGGATGGATGGATGGATGGATGGATGGATGGATGGATGGATGGATGGATGGATGGATGGAGGTTATTTTTCCCTTTACATTAAAGGAGTAATGCTGCTGTAAACCGGGGAGCCCTGGGTTACCTGCCCCTCCTGTTGCTATCCCAACCTTTACATGGAGTCAGTAATTTAAACAATGAAGGAATGAATGAAATGTAATGTTCCCATCCTTACTACATCAGCATGCAGCATTCACTGTCTATGTGGTGAAACAATGAAAGAATGAGTTTCTAACTGTCTAGGTTTGTGGACCTTAAAGCCACAGCAAAGAACCCTAGAATCATTTTTTCACTTACTCTTGAATAAGTGACATAAGATTTATACTTATGGGGGAAAAGACAAAAATATGCAGGAACCATTTCATTTGAAGACTCATCTCTCAGACGTCCTCTCTCTTGATCTCCACAAACAAGCAGCGCCAGAAGATCAACAAGTAAAATTGACAGCTCTGCCTCGTCCTATTACGCTTTGTAATGGGAAGGCTCAGTTGTGCTAACTCCATCCTTCATATCCCCCCGACCCCCACCTGCAGCGCTGCTGCACAGCCACTGAAATCAACAGCAGCCTTACAAAATCCTAACACTGCTTCGTATTGAATAGTCGTTCTTGAATTCCCAAAATATCATTTTTAGTCTTTAAGCCTCAACAAATAAAGGTTGTAAAGTCACTGTTTTGACTAATCTTGCAGTTGGAGGCCCCATCACCTGATTTACGACCTGAGGAAACAGATGGAATGAGCTGCGCAGTAGAAATACTTGATTGGTGAAGCCAAACATCCAACAGCCAGTGTCTCCAGGTAACACGTTTCTGATGGGAATCTGACACAACAAGTTAGAAAGAGTCTGATCCATGTCTCAAAAACACAGATTCTTTCAAAAGGTCGCTATTTATTCATATTTTTTAATGTAGCTGTTGCAAGCTACATGTCCAAGAAAAAAAGTATATATATCTATATATATATCTATATATAGATATATATATATAGATATAGATATATATATATATATATTTTTTTTTTCCTAGAATTTTGGTACCACACCCAACATCTGGCCTGATGTTGCACATCAGTCTTGCTAAAACTCTCTCTTCACATTGGAGGCCTGTGGTTTCCTTATTTGTCACCATGTTCAGACGTCAGTTTGTGACCTTCAGTTCACTTTGCTAATGCAGTGGAATAATGAACCACACAACACCAGAAGGGCCAACAGCCACAACAAGACACATGATGGCATCTGTTGATTCCACTGGCCAGGATCATTTATGGTTCACTAATAAATAAAATTAGCATTTGAAAATGGCATTTTCAGATCAGATTACTCAATATTAACATTTGATGGATGGATGGATGGATGGATGGATGGATGGATGGATGGATGGATGGATGGATGGATGGATGGATGGATGGATGGATGGATGGATGGATGGATGGATGGATGGATGGATGGAGGGAGAAAGGGAGGGAAGGGTGATTTGATTTATCTCCAACAGAATCCTTCATCCTTTCCAGCCAGATAAACCTTTGAAAATAAAACCGTTTTCCAATTTAACTCGTATCGATTCATCCCCGGTACATCGGCATATTACTCTACTCTACTAATAGTTTATCTCTCTACATATTTACATGCCTAACTTAAACAGAATTGGTAACGGTGAGGACAGAATCTTGACATTTTCAAAATAAAAGCTTGACCGATCAAACCAACACCTCCTGACTGGAGAACGTTCTGCTCCACCTTCTCTCCTCTCGTCGCGCAGCAGCCTCACACCTTCATCCTGGAAGCTGCTGCAGTCATTTCCTGCAGAAACAGATCGCCTCTAAAACACCGAGGAAAAAGTCACGCGTCCCATCGACATGATGCATTTCACGCAGTCGTCCCAGAATTGAAAATGCCACATGATCATTAATAATCGCCTCTCGTCCATCTATGACAGTCGTTGGACCGCTGATGCCGATGTGAAACAGGAAGACGTGCGTCTGCGGCCAGCGGCAAACGGTTGAGCGTCTTACCGGATGATGCAGCGGGGAGCCGTCCCTCATCCAGCCTCAGCACCTGCGCGGCGTTCCAACCTGCACGTCCACCCGCAGAGCGTCAGAGCCGGGCAGACCGAGCTGCTGCTGGGTCCTAACGCCCCCTCCACAGTCTGACCTCACAGGAGGAAACGCATCAGCGTCGTGCTATTTATAGGCTTTGTTTTCTGTGGCCTGAGCATCACCATCATCCTGCTGACTGCGCAGACTTCCCGGACGGTTCGGAGGGATTCCAGCTGCAGACGGCGCCCACGCAGCCAGAGCTGATGGAGAACCTGAGCCATCAGAGAACCTGAGCCATCAGAGGCTGTGTCCACAAAATGTCCCTGAAGACAAAGCGCCACCTGCCCGCTCCTAATTTTTTATACCCCTAATGGATTCATCAGACTTGGAGAAGCAGCGTTCAGCTTCTGTGCACCACAAAACTGGAACAAACGTCCAGAAAACTGCAATCCAACTGAAACACTGAGTTCCTTTAAATGAAGCCTAAAAACCCAACTAGTTAAAGCTGCTTTAGATTCATAATAACCGGAAGTTTGATTGATATAGCTGAAGAATATTTGATGGATGATTTTGATGATATGGTGATGTTTGATCAAATATAATGTTTATTGTTTGTTTCATACTAGGATACCGTATTGTGTTTTTAATCATTTTAAACTGCCTTATTGCTGAAATGTGCTTCACAAATAAACTTCATTTGATTTGTTGACTTTAAAAAAAAAAAAAGATTAAATAAATAAATAACATTGTCACAAAATAAAGGATTCAGGCAGAATAGCCAGAGACTTAACTCAATAAGAGCAGCAATACTTCATAATAATATTGCTCAAGTAAAAGTCAAAAGTCCCGGAAGTTGCTTTCCAAAACGTTACTCAAGCGTTTGTAAATGTAAATAGTTACTATTTACCTCTGGATTTAAAAGGAAATAATTTCCTTTAACCAAATAGTTTGGTTGAAATAAGACAGACATCTCCCAAAAGGTGAGAAAACAATGTCATCAACTCGTAATAAATCCATCCTATCGTGGTATTGGTTTATATTTAATATTGGCATTTTGAAAATGTTTAATGCCTGTCTCTATAATCAGTAGGGAAGAAATGCTAGTCAGCTATTTGTTTCTTCTTGCTTTTTGGCTCTTTATCTTTGGTGATGAATGTGATTTTACTTTGTCACAGTGGAAATCTTTAGATGGATAAATCTAACATTTAAACTGTGAAAAGCTCGAAAAAGTCAAACCTTTCCCCTGCACTGTGCTGAAAAAGATCCTCAAAGTGTGGACTTGTTTCCATAAGGCTGAAGCTGCAGCATTCAGGAACCTGGTTCTGACCTAAAATATGAAATGTTGTAATCTTTCTCTTCGTTTTATATTGCTCTTTTCCTTTGTGTGTCATGTTGAAATGTTATGCTGGAACCACATCCCCCATAGCTTGTTTCTCTGCAGCCATTTTAACTCTGACTCCACCTTTTGTTTTCATATTGGATTTCATTTCAGCTCAGTGTGACTCAAGCTCTGGTTGAGTCTTTCTGGCTTCGCGTGTTGAACGGCTTGACCTGGTCAGCCCCGGTTTCTTTCGGGTCCCTTTGACTTGGTCAAAAATATAAGAAGTGCAATGAAAGGTTAAAATAACAATAAAAAAAATGCATTCACACAACATGACATGATTTTATTTGTAAAAATATTGCTTCGCTGACTAATAATTTAACAGCCTTTGATTTCAGATGGTTCCTTTCAGATTACATCAGATGGTTTTATATCTGTGCGGTTCCAGTATTTACATCCTCAAGCTGAATTTGCACAAACCAGACATTTCCTTCAATTTCAACTCACACAAGTTCTTTAATCCGAACCTCTGCAGCTGTTGTTGTTGCTGCATGTTGTTTTCCTGTTGCTGCTCCCTGCTTTTCTGTGACTGGCGTCTTATCATGAAGGAAATAAACCCAGCATAGAGCTGCAGCTTCAGGGCTGGTTCAGCGGTCTGCTGGTGTTCAGTCTGTCTCCCACATCCCTCCACAGGAAACATGAGCAAACTCAGCGTCACTCTGCTTCCAGACCAGAAGAGATCTCTACTTACAGCACACATCTTCAAACATGTATGTATTGGTGTATTGGAGCGACCCTTGTATAAAGGTCTTAGTCCTTGACAAGTTTGAATCCTGGCCTTTTGACCTAATTTAATCTTTCGCACAACCCACTTTCAAACCAAGGTCAGCAGAGGCAACAAACAAACAGCATACCAGGAATGATCCTTTTCATTGTTGCAAGTTGACCTATTGCAGTTATTCTACTCTTAAACATCTTTCATGAAGGTCACCATGACCTGTTGTGTAACAGTCCTGTCACTGCACCAGTAAAGATTGTTAAACAGCGCCACCCAGTGGTTCAATTACTTTACCACTACTCTAAATGACATACCGGCACATTTTTTGCCAAGTGATTTTCTTTATTTTTGGGGGGCCAAAATCACTTTTGTTTATATCCAACAGCATCATCTACACACACACACACACACACACACACACACACACACACACACACACACACACACACACACACACACACACACACAATTAATTTAATAGCTGTTGGGATGTCAACAGACTGAATTCAGCATTGCTCCTCAGACCTGTTGGATGTTAACTTCTTCTTCTGTCTCCAGCTGATTTTTAAAAGAATCTTTGAGCTACTTCCTCATCACTTCTGCACTGCGACCTGGCTCTCCATCCAGTTGGAATTTGATCACAAAAAGATGACATCTGATCATTGACAGAGCTGAAAGCAGCATCACATGTGGACTGCAAGAGTTTTGTGTGCTGGTACATAACAGGACTCATGGGTGCCGTCACTTTACAGGAAACATCTTTGCACCTGTCTCTTTCTGTCCATGTTTACTTCCTGCAATGTCATTGGGTCTAAAATCTTTGGTTGTGTTTTGTGTTTCTGGATTTGTTCTGTTTTTGACCAGGTCACTCTCAGAGGTTTTTGACCTCATCAAGTTATTTTCTTGGTTAAATATAGGATACATACATTTGGATCTTTAGGTTTTTTTGCTGCCATATTTGACTTTGTAATATGGCAGCATATTGAAAGTGGCTTGCTAGCTGCTAAGCTAATTTCTATAGTTTAATTATCAGTGGACATCCTGAAAGTTCTCTGCAAATCAGAACATGAACCATGTCTGATGCTACATATGCTAGACTAAGATTACTGCAGGATAATTTCCTCATCTGCCCTTTACATTTCTCAGCAAATTATGTATTCTCAACATTAATGTGTACTTCCTATAATCTAAAGGAGTTAGATTCCAACTGCAGGTCACCAAATCAAAGATCTACACATACAAGTACTTTTTAATTTATTTACACAATTTTAAAATACACAAATACAGTGGCATTACAACTGAAGAGCAGAAGTATTAAGATGGGAGTGAAAGGGAAAAAAAATCCCATGAACCCACAGTATAAGATGTGGGACCTGAATCCAGAACACAACTACAAGCTTTTAGGACTGGTGGTGACAGAATGAGAAACGCCACAGAAAACCCCATTCCATGGAAACGTGTACTTGCATTTATCATAGCCATCATCAGAGAGACATACAAGTTATTCTATCACTTTAGTTGTTTTTCCAAGTCAACGAGTGAAATACATTTTCCAAGAAAAGAAAAGGTTCCTTCACAGGAACCCTGAAGCATTCCCAGTCCCTCTATCAACAGCTCGTCCAGAAGCCTACAGCAGCTCACCAGGACGTGGTAAACAGGCGCATCCTATACATAACAGAACCAAGGAACATGTACAAGTTACAACTACAACCCATTCCCGCATCGACTACAGAAAATGGCCTACAAATACTTCTCATCAGTCTATCACATCAAGGAGTTCCTACTTTAGATCAGATCCCCAGGAGCCTGAAGTCCGGGGCCCTTTCACTACGCAGCACTCAGTCCACAGCTCCTAAAAACCCCTCTGCTTCCAGGAAGCTGGCCTTGAAGCAAAACCCGTCTGTTTTCCATGTAAACAGGAAAGTGGAGCCATCTGACGCCGCAAGCTCTGCAAAATTCTAAACTATTGAGTACCGCAGCGTTGTTGAATCATTTATGCCACATGAACCCAGGAAAATTCCAAAGTTTACCCAGTCGGGTTTAAACCTGACTGAAACATTTAAGACATTCTGAATGATAATCAGCACTCTTCTCATCAGCAAAGTCAAATATGTACATTAAGATACGGGTTGGTTAGTAGTGTCACAAACTGAAACTGCTTTTTATAAGAATTTCAAATTCATTTAGTTGGACATTAGCAACTAAAACTGTTCCTCCACCAGATCCTGAAAACAGGGAGAAAAGATCTATCAGTTCATGTTTCTCATACTTTCCCCAACACATTGCACTGTTTAAAGGTTCTGTGAGATCAGCTACAGCAGAGTGAAAACAAGGGTCCAAAGTCCTGAAAAACTGCTTCTGATGGTGACATTTATCTAGAAAATGGACAAGTTGTGCTTTGGAAAAATGAAAAACGGTGTTTGGACTCAGGGTGGAAGCAGAAGGACACGAGGTCCAAGGATCAGGCTGAAGATGCTGTGGACGTAAAAGCTTACAAAAATGTTTACTTTCATATATATATATTTATATAAAAAGAAATCGACATGTTTATCCCACCTGTGAGCATGGAAACCCCTAGGACACAACCACACAAAAACACACGAAAGCCACGTCACTATGCACTAGTGTTAGAAAGAAAGAAGTTTGGTGTGGACAGACTGAGCTCCTGACTCACTCTTCCATTCACAGCTTTTCCCACGCCACTCAACCTGAACACTAACTAAATGTGCTGCATGTTTACCATATTCCAACAGACCTGAGGACATGGACACAACTCGTACAACAGCCTCCTTCACCCCCATCTTATTCTACCTAAACATCTCATTCACATCAAAAGAAGTAAATAAGGAGGCGTGGACTGCGGGGTTCAAAGTATTTTACAGGACACACAGAGTTTAGGCACTGTGCTCAAACATTGCCATGATGGAGCGACTCTCCATCTGACCCAAATCAAAGTAAATCCAACATGTTAACATTGAACAAACACCGCATTCCCCGTTTTCATGCTGATCAGCTGGTGTCGATGGTTTTTTCCTGCTAAAAAGATTAAAAACAAGTAAAATCAAAAGTTGGGAGAAAAAAAAACATTTGGCCAGAGAAAAGTGAATCAATGGCTTCATTAACAGCAGGGAGGAGGAGGAGTTTTCAC